TGACATGATATTGGATCAAGATGTTGAGAGTGATTCCTTAGTAGATCTGGATTTTGTAAATGATGATGATATTGCTATAGGTCGTTGCTATTAATGATTACTTGGTGAGTCAAGATATTGTGCATAATGTCAGTCCTAGAACCTCCTCAAAAATATCTTATCCACATGTTTGGATGAAAGAATATGTGACTAATATGACAACCTATATACACCCTCACTCCTTAGCTAGCTATGTATCCTACTATCCGTTATCTCCTACATACCAAGCCTATTTAAGTGGAATGCTTGTTGAATCAGAACCAAGAAGTTATGAGGAAGCAATCAAAGACCCCGGATGGGTAGAAGCCATGAAGCAGGAAATTAGTTCATTGGAAGACAATGGTATGTAGAGAGTAATGAAGATGCCTCCCGGAAAGAATGCCATAGGATGTAAATAGGATTTTAAGATCAAGTAAGGCAAATGATGAAGTTGATAGATTTAAGGCTTGGTTTGTGGCAAAAGGTTATAGCCAAACTGAAGGAATTGATTATTAAGAGACTTTCTCACCAGTAGTAAAAATGGTGATTGTTAGAACCATTATAGTTGTTGTAGCAAGTGAGAACTGGATGATTTATCAAATGGATATTTGTAGTGCTTCCTTACAAGGAGATTTGATTGAAGAAGTGTACATGGAGTTGCCAAAGGGATTCAATAAAGGGGAAGGACACCAAATCTGTAGGTTTATAAAGTCATTATATGGTCTTAAGTAGGCTTCAAGACAATGAAATGCAAAGTTGACTAATGCATTGTCTAAATCAGGGTACATTAAAAGTCATCTGGATTATTCATTGTTTACCAAAATGAAAGGCACAACATTTGTGATTGTACTTGTATATGTAGATGATCTATTGATCACAGGGAATGACTCCACATTGATACAACAAACCAGACAAGTTCTACACAAACATTTCAAAATCAAAGATTTGGATGAGTTGAGGTATTTCTGGGAATAGAATTTTGTAGACCAGGAAAGGGAGTTGTAATGAACCAGAGTAAATATGCCTTAGAGTTAGTGTTTGGAGCTGGTATAGCAGGGGCAAGACCATCATTTACACCCTTGGAATATAACATGAAACTTACTAGTGCAGAGTTTTCTAATTGATTTTGGTGGATTGTTCACTGACATAGCTAGATATCATAGGTTGATTGGGAAGTTGCTTTATCTTACTAACAACAGACCTGACAACATTTTCAGTTCAGTATCTAAGTCAATTTATGTAGAAGCCTACTATTTCTCATTGGAATGCAACTTTGAAAGTAGTAATATATGTCAAGGCTGCACCAGGTCAAGGATTACTTATGAGAGCTGATGTTAAAGCCTCTAAGTTTTGAAGAATGGCAAAGTGAATAGAACAGGTCGTGCATACGTGATACAAAAGTACTTTGTCAAAAACGTATAGCAGTAGAAATTCAAGGTTAAGGAAGTTTTCTTAATCAATAAGGAAAACTACATAAAGTAGGAAAACTACTATGTGTAAGGTTTCTGTGAAAGAGGTCGAGTACAAATAGGAGTCCAAGTTGAGGTCAACAAGGCTTTGTAGCGGCAAAGACAGTTGAGTCGAATAAGGACTTGCTGGAATTCTGATCTATAAATAGAGGGTTGTTTTCTTCAGAAAGATTGCGCACTTACATTGAGAGTAATATCAAAACACGATCAAGAGTTGAGAGAGTTTTGATTTTTATTTTTGGGAGTGCTGCGAGTTGAGAGAAAAATTGTACGATTGTAGTCAAGAGTTTTGAATACAATCAAGTGTTTGTGAGTAAGTTTCGTTTGACAAGTTGAATTACTTGAAGAACGTTTGAAGACTAAAACCTGGGGTTTTTTTGTCTTGGGTAGTTAGGAATTTGAGTTTATAATTCCTTAGGTTACATAGCTTTGTAATCGTTGTGTTATTTGAAGGTTTTTAAATAATACAAAGTACTGAGCAAGTTGTTATATGAAATTATTTATTGTTAAGCTTCAAACAAATAAGAACAAGTAGTCATTACGTGTTCCTGTATAGAATTCATGAGGGTAGAATTCCAACAGCTGAGAAACAAACAAATCTTATTGGCTTTTGTGATGCAAATTGGGTTGCTTTCCCCAACACAAAAAGGTCAGTGATGGGTTCTTACTATGGGATGTCTTTGATATTCTGGAAATCAAAGAAACAATACTCAGTTTCCAGAAGCTCTGCAGAAGCAGAATATAGAAGCTTGGCTGCATTGATTGCTGAAGTGGTTTGGGTGACAAACTTGTTTAAAGAATTGGGGTTGAGATTAGATAAACTTGTCATCATCCATTGTAATAACAAGGCAGCTATACATATAGTAGTTTTTCATGAGAGGACGAAGCACATTGAAATTGATTGTCACTTTATCTGGGAAAGGATGCAGCAGGGCTTGATAAGAACAAGTTATATCAGCACCTAGGACCAACATGCTAATTTACTGACAAAGGCACTAGGGAGAATTCAACATGATTTTCTACTTGCCAAGCTAGGTGTCTTGAATGTCTTCAGTACACCTAGCTTAAGGGGGAGTGTTAAAGATGAAGGTTCAAGTAGTTAGTTAGGTTCACAAAGTTAGTTAGACATTTTTAACTAAGAGAAAATACATCATTACCCCATTCAACTATAACACTTTTTTTAAAAAGACACTTAAACTTTGAAAAGGTCCTAGTACCCCCTTATTCTTTTTTAGAGTGGATTAATTACCTCCTTATAATCCTATGTGGCACACAAAGTGTATTTCACTCGCCACTAGCGAGTGAGATAAACAAAAAATTACTTATTTTATTTATTTTAGCATTTATTTCATCAGAAATATGATTTTCTTTTTACTCTATTTGTTTTATTGTATTTTTATGAAAAAAAAGTTTTATTCTATTTTGACAATTGAGACCTATCAGCACTCCGATGAACAAGCTGCAATTCTTTGGAAAAAAATGGGAGGCCATAGAAAATTTCCACTCCAAAGCTTCAGAGAAAATTGATGAGATTATTGAAAAGAGAAAGAGATGGAAGCGGAGTGAGGTGGTGGGGGAAGATCGGAAAGAAACGCCAGAGAGATGACGGCGCCAGCGCACGACAGAGAGAGAATCGCCAGGGGCCATGTTCAAACGAAGTAGAAAATACCCTATTAAAATTACAGAGAGACTTTCGATCTTTATCGATACAGAACATCTTGATTTGAGCAAAATTCAAAGGCAAAATACACACAAAAAAAAAGATTAATCATTGGAGAAAATAGAAGAAATTTTGCTCCTACAGATCTGCTTAGCCATTGTTGAGATGTGTTATTGATGTTATAGCAGTGGTGGCTATGCAATAGAATTGCCGGCGGCGGTGAAGAGAACGACTTCTGCTGCTGTTGAAATATTTGTTGAAGAAAAAGAAAAGATCATTTACCTTCTTTTTTTTTAGAAAAATGAATAAGAAATAATATATATGAAAATAAAATTTTAAAATTAACTTGATTGACACGTGGTAAGTATTAATTGGTGTGTGTATGCACTTCCTTTCTTATACTTGGGATTGATCGAAAAAGGGGATATTTTTACCACTTTTAAATTGTTCAAGGGGTATTAGGACCTTTGCAAAGTTCCAGTGTCTTTTTAAAAAAAATGTTATAGTTGAATGGGGTAATGATGTATTTCCTCTTTAACTAATTGTAATTGACCCATTATAGTTGGTTAAGTTTGTTACACATTACCAGATGAGTAGATGTGGTTAGCAAGTAGTTAGTGACTAGTCAAATTGTATATATAGGAGCTATTTCATTCTGTAGTTACATTTTTCAATATTCAATACAAAATTTCCCAATTCTCTCTTCCTAAATTCAATGAAAAATTCAAAATTTGTATGTTTAATAAAGGATAGTAACAAAATAAAAGGCCCGTAAAAGGGATGAGATGTGGCCGATGGCAAATTGATAATAGGATGGTTGGAAATAAAAGTTCACTCATATACATACTCTAATAGTCAATTAGAGTTTTAAAAAAAAACATATAATAATTCTAATGGTTTAGACTAGATATAGGAGATTGCTCCAACGGGACATAAATCATCACCAACTAATAACTCCAATCACGACTTGTTCTAACATTTCGCTTTCATTACACGAAGAATATTCCTATTTGATATGCATATGTTATATCTAATTAATTGGAACAATTGCATCACTTTGGATGGGCTTAAGATAGATCACAATCTCAGATTGGACCGACCATCATACCTCTACCATGCCAGATGACAGGAGAAAATTAATTTCGCTTATCTCCAATTCTTAATTGAAATAAGACAAAACTTCAAATGTTATACCACGTGCAAGATCTTATTGAAAATAAGATCCCATATTGAAAATTAGGAGGATTCACATGGGCAAAGACTAATGCAAAATAAATCGATCAGGATTGTGATAGAGTATTAAGTAAATTTTTTTTTTTAGTTGTTAATCTTGGGTTAGAATCTTTTTTTGATTGTAGAAAGCTTTTTATCCTCTTAATGTGAAACTTTTCCGTATAAATTTGAATTTTTTAATATAGATACGGAGAAATCAAAAAGACTAATGCAAAATCAAAAAGTTCCAAAAAGACTAAAGCGTACTCCACTTAATATTGTCTGATAAAATTCATTGTTTATCAATCAAAATTGGATTACCTTTTGAATTCAACTGAACAGCTAGTGGCCCACAAAGTCAGAACCCCACATGCCCCTTTAACCTCATCTTCTTCATTCATATACAATCCCAATCTAAAGATTCTCTTGTCTATGATTTTGTACGGCGCATTTCAAGGCCATATTCGTAAAAAAACACATCCCGTGCGCGGCGATTTAACCAATTAACCTAAGTTCTCTACAAGTTGTTACCCGCTGAATTCCAATAATACCCCTACTGTCACTTTCCCATTATCCTTTTTTGACTTACTCTTCTTCCCAACCTAATACCCATTTAACCTCTCCATCTTTATCACTCTTTCACCATCTCTTATCTTCTCTTTCCTTTTTCAAAGCTTACATCTTTTTGCATTTGGGTTGCTAGATTCAAGCGAAAATGAGCCGTTTCAGGAGATTTGACCTTATCAACTACTCTCCTTCTCCTTCATTCTTCACCCCCAAAACCCTGCTTCTAAACCCATATTTACCTTCATTCCACAATGAGGATGAGCTTGACTGCACTCTCGATCTCATCTGCCCTAAGCCTTACTTACCCACTACCTTCCTCGATCTCGACGATTTCGATACCATCACCGATCTGATCCAAATCGAAAGAACCCCTTTTTACAGCACTACTCGCCGTGTCCAGCACCGGTTAGGACTCGGTACTGAGTTGCAATGTCTGTCTGACCGAGTCACCGCGCTCGAGCGGATGTTGAGGGCGAAGGAGGAGAAGAAGAAGAAGAATAAAATTGGGGAGCGGAAGTACACGTGGACGACTGAGATCAAGAGCCCTGAGAAGGATGGGGTTGATCGGAAATATGAGTGGATTGCTGAGGTGAAAGATGGTAAGAAGAAAGGGGCTTTGGATAAAAGCTACAAATTTAGTGCTGAGATCAAAGGAAAAGGTGACGATTCACGTAGTTACAGTTTCAAAGCATCAAATGTCAGCGATACCGATAGCGATAGCGATGGAAGTGAGAAAAAAGAGAAGAAAGATAAGAAGAAGAAATGTGAAAGCCGTAAATCTGTGGGTTGTACACGCTTGGTTGAGATTGAAGAGCCAACCCATCATGGAGCACTCGTCTTAAGACAGGTTCCATTTACAGATTTTCGTAATCAATATTACAATCTTATTTAGAAATGAGAAATCTTGAAATTTTGTACGATGGGATTTGTGTTTTTTTGTTTGTAATGTGTAGGTATTTGCGAAGAGGGTGGAGAAGAGAAGGGGGAAGAGGAAGGAGCTGTCACCACAAGATGCAGCTTTAGCTATTCAAATGAGCTTCAGGGCTTACTTGATTAAGAGGTCTCAGGCACTGCGTGCTCTGAGGGAACTGGCCATTGCCAAGACTAAATTGAAGGAGCTAAGGGCTCTCTTCAACAACTTCACTTACAGAAGACGTGTTGCTCGTGATGCAGAGGAGCGCCAGAGGTTCTCTGAGAAGATTATTGTGTTGCTGCTCACTGTTGATGCCATTGAGGTAGACATAGTAGTAACCATTCCTGTTTTTTCTTTTATTGGTCTTATAATATAGCGATGTTGCTAGCTGTTTGAATCAATTAGCTTATTGTGTTTAGTTATCTAAAGAATATCTTTTTTTTCTTTTCCAAACGATATGATGGTGTTAAGATGCTAATTTCATTTAGTTTAGTATATAAGAGGTAGTTGAAGAAAATATTAAATTAATACTAAAAAACACACCAAAATCTATGATTTGATTAGTTAAATGGATTTGGATATTTGTGAGTTGTGAATATTGTCCAAAATAGTATTGTCAAAGACTTCGAGTTGTCCCAAAATAAAATATGAAGGCTTATAAATTTGAATGGATAGAGTACTAGAAATTTGCTACTTGGAAATGCTACTTTCGTAGGTAAAGTATCATTTATGAGTTCTTGGACCTATAGTTCTCGGATGTTTGTAGTTGTTGCGATCTGATTCTGGGATTAGCCTTTCAGACCCCTCATTTTAGTTATTCTTCTCTATTTTTTGTTCTTATTTCTTTCGTTCTCGGTTGGGTTTGGGGGGTGTTAGGTGGTCTATAATTGAAGTAGTTCATCAAATAGGAGGGGCATTAATCCGAAGTCTGGATCTGAACTATGAAAAATTATACCCACGACCTTTTGGGACAAATACATTTTGAGACCTTGGTGCTTCTATTTTGCTGGCAACATAGAATGTACATTCTTCGCATTGTCTAACTAAACAGGCACATAAGAATGCAGTTTATTATTACTATGCTGCTTGCTGCCTTTCTTGGAATTGATGTGGGGAAACACATGTCCTCTGTCTCCAGCTTGCTTTACAGCAGCTTAATCACTTATGTTAATACTTCTGGTAAAAAAAAATTCGGTCTGTATTTTGAGAGATTTGCATGAAACATTGCCTACTGCACATCAAATGTGTGCATATGTTATCTTTACTTGCAATGTGTTATGCAAATCCTTAGCAGTCTCGACCCTTTTATGTGTTTTCCTTTGGTTCCAGAAATGCATTTATTCTTTACTTTCCTTCTGTATTAGGGCGTGGATATGATGGTCCGATCTGCAAAGAAATCTATAGTGGATGAGTTAGAAGCAATGCTTGATGTTATCGACCCCCAACCTGGTGGAAGGCCTTTATCTGTTGCAAGGAGGAGAACATTTGATATGCCAGATGGTGCCATTCAGAAGGAACTTGCAGCTGGTGTGGCTCAAGTTGTTCGAATGCTTGACGAGTCCAATGGTGCTGAAACCTTTGAAGGATGCTTATGAGTCTTATATGAGTCTATGACATGTGAGATTCCACTGGTCTTTGGGGTTTGCTAGTGTTGTATGTTCTAATTAGGACCGGCTGTGGTATGAAGCTACTCTACTGTTGTTAACATTTCTTTTTATTCTGGATAATGGAGATCAGAGCTAGTATGTTATCTTATTTCACCTTTTGGTATGAAGTTTCCACTTGGCTTAACTAAACCCACTTGTAGGGATATCGTTTGATGCATACGTGATCACCTTTCTCCTTTTAGCTTTAGTCAGTCGAGTAGCTTATTCGAACGTTGTGAACTCATTCCTGCTTTTGCAATACCAGCGCATCTTGTGTCACAGAATCGGTTGTGCTCTGGCTCTTCCCCTCTATCAAAAGATTGCCTTGTGTGGAAGGTTGACTCTGAACTTCAGTCAATGGGAGGAATCCCCTTATCTAAGGTTCTTTGTATGGCACTATAAACTCTCTTTCTTATGCGAGACAGAAAGTGTAACTACCGAAGCTCTTTCAACTTGTCCTGTCTTTGGATAAGTATTGCGGTTAAGTCAGTTAACAAGATGAGAGTCGGAAAATTGAAATAAGAACTGTCAATGCTTGAATGCTTCTACTTATGTAGATGGAGTCCAGTACGCTACTATATATACTGATAATTCCCAAGACAATATCGGGAGTACCCATCTTATGTGATATGTAACTAGATCGCACTTTGTACCAGCATTCCAGACTAGCTACATTGACAGGGAAAGCTAGGTCTCTACTCCTTCTTCATGAGGAAGAAAGGCCTTGTTATCATCTAGATCGACGTAAGGTGCGTAGCGGTGTAGAGTCCAACTAAGACTTCCATGAAAGGTCTCATTCATCTTGATTGAGGAGTTTCTTACTGACCGCTAAACCTTCTCTACTTTTGAAGATAGATGGAAAGAAGCTCAGAGAATAGCTAAGTGGAAGTCAAGACTCCCTTTTTTAGGAACTTAGACTACCTATGTGCTGGTAAACTCCACCTAGACTGAGATCATCAGTTATATCATTTAGTTTGTGTCCTAAGTCCTATATCCTTCAGGAAAGGATCAATTCCTTCTCTATTCTCTAACTTCTACTTGGGGTCACTCCTCGGAAAGATTCTTCATTAGAGTTAGCTTCTTTTGCTCCTTCACCCTTGACTGCATTCCCGAAAATGCCATTCCCATCCGCTAAACCTGCTCCGTCTGAGAATGGTTTTACCCCGTCCTCGGCTTGAGCCGAGTGGCTTTCCGCTCCTCAATCTTATTTGTTTCCGATTCTGCTTCAGATTCTCTTTCAGTTGTGGAAACAAGCCCCTATTCCTATCGGTTGAGTAGCCCAAGCTCCTTAAAGCGTATTGTCCCCTCTCCTGTGAAAGAAAGAGGTTGATGCACCCAGCTACCCGAAGTAGAGCTTTCTTTGTCCCACCTTTCCTTACTGACTTTCCTAGTTTAGATAGCGTATTGAGAATCATGTCAAAATACACAGAGACCTGGGCCCAGGTTCCCTTTCTTCAAGAAAGGGTAGCTTTAAACAACCCGGTTCCAAACACACCAAACAAGCAAGCGACTCCCCTTCCTTAGCGTACCCGCCCATTAAGGCATTCTTCCTTCTTGCATATGTGTTATAGCTCATAGCTCTAAGCCCCAATTCCTTGGTGAAAAGAGTGACGCCTTTAAATCATCGGGAAAAAAAAAAGAAGGAACCGATATAATGACCGCGGGTAGAAATATCATACTTTTTGCAATCCTTCTTTTGAGCCTGACCTTTATCGTTCGTAGAAATTGTTTTGTTTGAATAAAAAATATGGCTTTCGACTTGTCTTTATCATATATATATATATTCGATTTTCCATCTCGTTATTTGGGTGTTGTTTACGCACCAATTTTCTATCTCACTTTGGTGTTTATTTACTGGAAGTTTTTTCTTTTTTTGTTGTTTTAAGTGTTGGTTCAGGGAGGAGGGCACCACTTCCTCTTACCGGGCCCTTCCAACCCATTAAACTCCTCCTCAGAAGATTCGTTCGCGCTCCAGGTCCTGTTGGAGTCTTAGCCCGTGACTCACAATTCAGGCTTTTAATTTTGCTCCTGAAATAGGATTAATACGCTGAAAATGAAAATAGCCCTTTTCTGCTTTCTAAAGAGATGGGGGGAGAATTGGGAGAAGTAAAGACCACACTCCACAATTGTCCCTTCTCAACGGGAATATAACTGATTACTCGAGTTCGAGAATAGGGTCTCCGGATTGGGAGCTACGACATTCTTGTTATTCTCAATTTCTTAGACTTTTTACGGATCATCCTGCCTTGGCCGAAAATGCCGATTCCAGCCCCCAAGAAGGCTTACTATACTTTTTTGATGATAAACGCCATGAACTTGACCGAGAGGGCGGAACCCCATTAGTAAAAGACCAGAGAGAACTCCACTTTTTGGATCAACTTTCACACGATATGAAAAAAAATGGAAAAAACTCGTCTATATCAATATTCTATTTGAGAGATAATAAAGATAAGTATATATGAGATTGACGTGAGAAATGTTTGTTATACGTGCCTGAAGCTGTTATATTTTTTTGGCTATATTAGACGAGTGGAATGGATCGGACCGGAGAGGAATGGAAAGAAAGGGATCGCATTGGTATTGGTTAATGGCAAATATCTCACCTTTCGGTGAGAGGGGTGCCGAGATCCTAGGGGCAGTGGGATCTTCCCATCATGATCGACTAAAGGGAAAGTCGAAAAACCATATTGGTTCAAATCCAATTCATGATTCCAGTTCAGAATTCATTCAATCGAAGAAAAGAATGAAGCATTACTAACAGACAGCCAAAGCAGACAGGGTGAGAAGATGTGACAACCAGAAGGAATCCTTTTGCTTTCTCCAACAACGAATTCAAAGTAAGCCAAATATTATAGACATCTATCATACTCGCTGTAAGGTATGAACGGGCAGCAGGGAATCGAGTGAATGACCTTAACGATCGTTTTAGAAGTAGCGCTTTATAGCCTGATGACTTAAAGCAAGGTCGAAATCCATCCCTCTTTTTAAAACTGATTAATTAACGACTCACCAAGCAAGGGCACGTTGCGCGGTGTAGCTAGTTCAAGGAAGTGAAACTAAGACAGGAAACTCCCCCTTTTTTTTGACTTTTAAGTAAGTAAGACCTTGTCCTCTTCCCTTTCGACATCAAGATAATTGACGAAAGTGGTGCTTTGAACATTTTCGCTGAAGTCGAAAAGATAAGCATCTACCCGGTATCCAACAATCCTTCTATGCAGATACCTCTTTTTTACTCTCAACCATTGCTGAGAAGAGAAAATGCTCAAGGTTCTATATATTTTTCTTTATTCAATTCATTCCTATCCTTTTTGTTTTCAGTCCCGGGTTTCCTTTCCTCTCCAGCCAATCGATCGCCTTCTTAGTTAACTGCGGAACTCGCCTTTACCTTTTTTGATACAATTCATTCATATCCTTTTTGTTTCAGTCCGGTTTCCTTTCCTCTCCAAGCCAATCGATCGCCTTCTTAGTTAACTGCGGAACCCGCCCTTTAGCCATTTATCTTTAGATACAGAGGGCTTATGAGTCACATAATTTGAAGCCCAAAAAACAAAGGTAAAAAAAGTGGGGAACAATGGCCTCACACGATAAGATTTGTCTAAGCAATCTCTTTGAGATTTTCAATAAGTCAATACCAAGATTTGCTTTATGCGCCTACTAATGTGATGATAATTCAAAAGCTTTTTTGCAAAGAAGAAGGGCCCGTTCCTATGGGTTCACGTGCTAAGGCTCCACTAAAAAATGCTCTTTTTCAAGAGAGAGGTTTTAGGCGCATTAATCACGCCTTGAAGGAGGGAAGTAGTGGAGTAGGAGAGGTAAATATGGATGTGAATATATAAGTAAGAGAGAGGGCGACACCAGCTAACAGAACGGACAGAATGAGAAGAAATCCCCAGGATGGAAAGAAGCTTGAAAGAGAGAACCAGGAATGAAATAGCCAGACCAAACGAGCAAAAAGCCACGAAGGTTGATGATAAGAGCGTAAGACTTTATGCAAGAGGGTAGAGCCCTTGATCCTTTCAAGAATGTAATTATCCTTAATATTAAGGAGCCAATTTAGAACCTTTATAGTAGATTAAAAGAAAGAACATACTCATATGAAAGTTCCCCATAAAAATTGGCTTGTTGTTGAATCAGCTGTGAAATACGCTCTTGCTCACGAATCTGTTGTTCTAGCTCAGACCAGGCTATCTCCGAGAAAATAGGGGGAATTTGGCTTGTCAACGAAATTCCTCTCATAAGTTGGTTCACATCATGATCTAAGTTCATTTTCCCATCGAGAGATTATGATACTGGTAAAGAGTCCTATCCTTCTCCTTGGATTATGAAATAATTCAATAGCTCCGGGCTCCCTCACTGCATTCCAAGGCAAGCTCCTACTAGATCCTACTATTCCTAATATTCCTACTGGATTTGAGCAACTCGAGTATGAACATTGTATCGCTATGCCCCTCGCTTAGCCCCGCTCTTTGGTTTAGGATGGATCCGGACTGGACTAAGCTTGAAGATCTAATTACGAACTGGAAGCGAAAATATCGTAAAAATGGCTTCTTTCTTCGAGGACTCTTTTGTAATAGCTTGATGAGCCGAACCAACAAGAGATATTACGTTCTACCCTCTGCTTCGAGCCCGGCCGAGAGTGAGCTTTCTGATAGTCTCTTCCTTCCTAGAAATAGAACTCTAACTATCAAACCCGTCCCGTCTCCTTACTCGAGATATCTGAGATAGCTCCGTAAACTAATAACTTATAATAGACGAGCCCATTATCCTTATGTTCCGAACTTGCTTCTTAGTACAAGGGGAGAGGCGAATAATTCTAGTTATAGTTCTTCTTCTGCCTAATCTTTAGTACCGCTTTGAGATTGAATCTTTAGAACCATGTGTCTAAGAGGGCGAGGACCTTTATAGTCATAATTCTTCCCCCGATTCTACCTCCTTCTGCAATAGTGATCTATCCCGTCAATCCCACCCGCGAGCTATCCATTCTAACCTTTCTCTGCCTAGCAAGATACGTCTAGTTCTCCCTCCGCTTGCCTATCTCAGTAGGAAATTGGAACAGTCTCCGATTTCAAAGAAAAAGCTTAGGCGAGAGCTATACCTTCTGGAACCGGAGCAATAACTGCTATA